CTACATCCGTGATTTGAAGTGGATATGGTGCCTGGAGTCAGAATCTGCCCTCCCTGAGAATCATGGGAAATTATACCACTGTTAGATGGTCTTTCTTGTCTTAGGCTTCAATTTAATATTGTTGGATAAGCTTACCAAATTCTTTAACCCCTTCAGGAAGGAGTCAATAGTGCACGTTCTGATCAAAACAAAACGTAAACAAAAACTGGAATTTGCGCTATATGTCTGTTCAACCGTAATTCGCCGCTGTCACATTAAGTGCACCCACACTTATTATATATCATTTTGTTCAGGAGAAACGGGGCTTTAATTTATCATTAACTATTCATATATGGAACATAATTTATTATGAATAAAATGTTAAAAAATGTGAGAAAATATGATTTTTTTTTTTAATTTGTATTCACATTTTAGCTGTGAATGTCATAATACTGTTAGGTTTTACTGCAAAAAAATGCACATATTTGTAATCAGCAATGTCTCATGAGTACAACAGTACCCCCCATTAACAGGTTTTATGATGTTTTGGAAAGTTACAGGGTCAAATATAGAACGTTCCATATTCAAGTTGAAATTTGCCAGATTAGTAATGTTACCTTTGAGAAGGTGTGGTAGCCCAGGAATGAGAATTACCCTCATAATGGCATACCATTTGAAAAAGTAGACAACCCAAAATGTTAAATATGTAAAATATATAGCTGAATATATAAATATTTTTACTATTTTTCATAATATTAAATCATTTGGAAAGTTAATTCAACAATTTTTAAATCGACATCTGAGTTTAAAGGGACACTATAGTCACCCAGACCCTTCAGATGTACATTTGGGGTTAAGCCAGCCTCTAGTGGTTGTCTTCCGGACAGCCACTAGAGGCGCATCTGCGACGCTGGAGGCATATTATGCCTCCATCACGCAGAGCGTCCATAGGAAAGCATTGAGAAATACTTTCCTATGGACACTTTGAATGCGCGTGCGGCACTTGCGCATTCGGCTCCGCTGACGTTGGCAGGGGAGAAGAGGTCACCAGCGCCGAGGGAGCCCGGCGCTGGAATAAGGTAAGCTGCTGAAAGTGTTTTAATCCCTTCAGCGCCACGGGAGGGGGGCCCTGAGGGTGGGGGCAAGCTCAGGGCACTATAGTGTCAGGAAAACCGCTTTGTTTTCCTGACACTATAGTGATCCTTTTAATTCAGAGGCTCAGAGTTATTGCATATTGTACAGAGTAAATTGTAAACCCCATCTAACATGTTCTTGTTTCGCACAGTTTCTTCATTTGCGGCAGTTGAATTCATGGCCATGCACGGTGAAAACTCATATGTAGACGAGAGTTCTCTTCATATAAAGTAAGAATTGCAATAAGGTTTAAACTAAAATAGAATAAAGTATTTAAATGATCAAATTGTGCATTCTGGGATATGAAAATTATCCTAGATATTTCACTTTCAGTGTACTGGACCCTCAGCACTGACACTGAGGGTCACTCATTAAATGAGGAATTGTGTAGAAATTATGTTCTTTTGACACAGAAAGACATGGAAGCACATAGACCTAACATGATCATCTCTAAAAGTAGTTTATAACTACCATTCTATTTCAACTACAAAAATAAAATATTCAATTTTAAATAAAATAAAATGTGCCCAATATAGTGTAGGCCCCCCTTGTGCTGCCAAAACAGCTCTGATGCATCAAGGCATGGACTCCAGAAGACCTCTGAATGTGTCCTCTGGTATCTGAAACCAAGATTAGGTGCTAGGTGGGGCACATCACACAGATGCTCAGTTAGCTTGAGATCTGTGGAAATTGGACCCCAAGGCAACACCTTGGACTCTTTGTCATGATCTCCAAACCATTCTTGAATAATGTTTGCAGTGTGACTGGGTGCATTATCCTGCTGAAAGAGGCCATTGCCATCAGGAAACTCCATTGCTATGAATGGATTGTCCGCAACAATCTCTCAGTAGGTGGTACGTGTCAAAGGAACATCCACATGAATGCCAGGACCCAAGGTTTCCCAGAGCATAACACTGCAAAGATAATCTATTATGTATGTGTATGTAAATATACACTATATGAACAAAAGTATTGGGACACACAACACACCACTCAATTATTGAATTCAGGTGTTTCAATCAGACCCATTGTAAGAGGAGTATAAAATAAAGCACCTAGCAATGCAGTCTACATTTACAAACCGCATGGCTCTGCCCCAGTGCAAAATGCAATGTCCATTAAGACATGGCAGGATGAGTTTGGTGTTTAAGAACTAGACTGGACCTGACCTCAATACAATCGGGATGAACTGGAACTGAGATAGCGAGCCAGTCCTTCTCGTCCAACATCCATGCCTGACCTCACAAATTCTCTACTGTATGAATGGATAAATGTGTGGTTTTTAATACATTTCTTTTTATCATATTTTTTTGTTTTTTTTGTTTTAGTACTTTGGTTTAGAGTTCATAATATTTATTTATAAAATATTTTACCAGGATGGATAAATTGAAATTTCTCTCGTTTTCAAGTATGTCCTGGGTCCACAAAACATTGCATTGTTACAATAGGATACAATATTACAAAAAAAATTGGGCTTATGTGTAATACATTCTCTTGTGGGCTTTTTGCTATTCTGTTTTCAAGTCAAATTAATATTATGTAATATATTATGTATCTCTTTGCACCATACTCCCATGTTCATAACTGCACTTGCTCCCTTTGAAATCAATGCATGTGTTTTGGTAAACATGCGCACACAGGGAGTCATCAAATGCTTTTCTGTCCTTTAGAAGGTGGCAATTAATTAGCTGTTTTGTGTTTATGTACTTGTCTTCATATTTTTGCTTGTCCTACTGCATACTATAGTACTGGAACTTACTGGTCAAAAATACATACATTCCTATCACAAAAAAGTTTACATGGAAAGAACTATGGCAGCGCTCTGTCCTTTCAATGTGTGGAAATAAATAGTAGACCATACCCATTGAATGTGCCAGAGAACCCCACCCATGCCAGCCATATAGACAGTACCCATTGAATGTGCCAGAGAACACCACCCATGCCAGCTATATAGATAGTACCCATTGAATGTGCCAGAGAACACCACCCATGCCAGCCATATAGACCGTACCTATTGAATGTGCCAGCGGGCACCACCCCATGCCAACCATGTAGACCGTACCCATTGAATGTGCCAACAGTCACCAGCCATGTAGACCGAATGCATTGAATGGGTGAGAGGGCACCACCCATACCAGCCATATCTCATTATACTTTCTCACTTTTCTCCCATGCAGTGTACAGATTTCAGCAAAGGGAAGGCGCGTTGTGAAGGCTGATCTTTTACAATATAATCGGTATGTCCTCATGCCCATTAATAAAGCAAATACATTTGACTAATTTTGATTGTTTGTAGTTATTTGTATAGGTCTGCTGGGAGACTAGGATTAATATAGAAACTAATGAATCGTACTGTTCCGTAGTGACACATATCTCAGATGGCATTACCCAGATTTTCATATTAATTTGCATCGCTCATCCCAGGTGTGTTTAGAGTATGTTCTTGTCACTCATGGTGGTAAGAGATAAACCTTTCGTTGTCCCTGTGCTGTCTTTACAACCCCAAGATTTATTCCCTAAACTAAGAATTGACTATGTGATTAATAACTATAACAAAGTGTTTAAGCAGGAAAGATGCATTCAAGTATTCACTGGTTTCTAAGCAAATTGTAGTACACAATTGATGAGGTGAGAAAAAATTAGTTTACCCTTTTGGTTAATTTGGCCTTAAATTTCCAGTTCCCTTTGATTCTCCACAATTTCCAGTTTGTAAATAAAGCTCTTTGCAGTTTTTTACGTAAACTGGTATAGTCATTCATGTCATTAATGTGAGTATGATAGAGTCCAAAATGTAATATTTATATTATGCTAGAACATTTTACTATCAGATCAAATGTTTTATTTGCCTGAAATTTGTATAGGGGTCTTACAACACAAAGCAGAGCTTGGTGACCCACCAGTGATGTAATCATGACTCCATACCCTCTCTTCCTCCTATTAAAGGGGAGTTGTCACTTTCCAGGATTTTTAATCTTCTGGTTCCTTACACCTATATTTAACGCACACATATATCTGTGAAGTGTGAAATCCAAAAGTAAACCTAGAAATATATACTTATGCTGCAACTGGATGCCTCCATCGTGGGCCCCCTTTCATTCAGTGGTATAAGCACTGTCCTTTGCACCTGGCAATGTGCTTAGAGAAAACGTACAGGAAAGACAAGAAATTAAACCATGTGTCCATTATTTATTTGAAATATATTCCCTGACTTTGCCTTGTCTAAACTGGAGTATGAAGTTATTTGCTAAACCTAAAAGAAAATGGAGCACCTAGTGAAAAAAAGGTTGGCACAAGTTGTAGGTAGTTTTCATTGATTTATTCAATGGCTGGATTTCTGGGGAAGTAGTATCCCTTTAAAATTCTCTCAACTTAGAATCATTCGTATACCCTCACCCCTTCCGCACTGGCCACCTCTCGAACTTTCCGGTTATGTTCTCTTTTCTCCCTCTCTGCCTCAGCCAGAATGTCCTTGTTTCTTTTACATTTATGTTAAAGATTTAGCAAATTACATGGTTACTCAGTTCAGGTAAGGCAAAGAGAGGGCAGATATTGCAAATGAACAGGGGATATGGAAACCTCTTATTTAATTTTTCTCGCTCTCTCTATGCTGATTGCCTGGTGCATAGGACAGAGCTTAGAACAATGACTGACAGGGAGCGAATATGCTGAATAAAGAAATAATCTTATTGTTCAAATCTCACAAATACACATATACAGATAGGTAAACCTAAGACAAATCCTGGGACGTGTCAGTTCCCCTTCCCAGCCATAATTGGTCCCATCTATACCTCCTTTCCCCAGCTGTACGGCTCTCATTTTGGTTCGTTCATTCATTAAACTGGTATCTGTGGAAATGTGACCGTGTGCAAGGTTTAACCCCTTAAGGACCAAACTTCTGGAATAAAAGGGAATCATGGCATGTCACACGTCATGTGTCCTTAAGGGGTTAAGCCAAACTAGCAAGGCTGGAAACTGGTATTTTAGCATAAAATCTGCAGTTCTCCCAATGTTTCAATGCTACCAGTTTAGAGGATAAAAACAAACAAACGGGTAATGGAGAGAATTTTACATGTCCGTTTACTGGACAGTTTCCTAGTAGAAGATGGAAACTGACAATGTATGCTGTCTTGTGGATCTAAACCAGTTGCAAACAGCTGTGATCCTTAAAGGAACAGTATGGGAGCAGGAATACAAATAAATATTCCTGGCCTTCGAAGACCTCAGCATGACTGCTGGCATCTTTGTGATATCCTCCAGTCCATTGCTTCTCATAGATTGGTTTCAGGTTCGAGTTTTACTCACTGTGAATGCCTCTAGGTGTGACAGCCACAAGAGGTGGAATTATTCCTGAAATGTAAACATTAAAACTGCAGGGTTACAATGACAGGACCACCACACTCAGACCACCTAATTGAGATTAAAAACCCCTTAAGGACAAATATTCCGTCATGATTCCCTTTTATTCCAGAAGTTGTGTCCTTAAGGGGTTAAAGGGACACTATAGTCACCAGAACAACTACAGCTTATTGAATTTGTTCTGGTGAGTAGAATTATTACCTTCAGGCTTTTTGCTTTAAACACTGTCCTTTTATAGAAAAAGCCTTGTTTACATTAAAGACTAGTTATAACGTCACTGGCCACTCCTCAGATAGCTGTTAGAGATCCTTCCTGGGTCATGGCTGCCTAAAATGCTTCCAAACATTCAGTGTCTCCTCCCTCTGCATGCAGACACTGAACTTTCCTCATAGAGATTCATTGATTCAGTTCATCTCTGAGGAGATGCTGATTGGCCAGAGCTGTGTTTGAATCATGCTGGCTCTGCCTCCCTGTTAGTCTCAGCCAATCCTATGGGGAAGCATTGTGATTGGACCAGGCCACCACTTCTAATGATGTTAGCAGTCTAACAGCATGCAGAGTTACAGCTTCAGGCTTGAATACAGTAAGATTTTGCTATATTTTTGGTGGCATGAGGGGCCAAGGGAGGCTAGATGGTGGTTTTAACACTATAGGGTTAGGAATAATCCCAAGGCAGTCAATTTGTATTTTATAATCTGATGATTTTTGCACTTGCAGGCATATTTGTTTGTGTTCCTGACCCTATAGTGATCCTTTAAAGCTTGGCAGACGCAATCTCCATGCTTTTTACAATAGATTATAAATATGCCTGCAAGTGGAAAAATCATCAGATTTTAAAATACAAATTGACTGCCTTGGGATTATGACTTGTAGTTAAACTAACCTACATTGCAGGTAATGCTTTGCTGCCTGTGCATTTTAAAACTGGATCTCCTCAGTTTGTTATAATAAAAGTATCATAACTTCATCCTGTTTGCTTTTCAGTGAAATGTATAGAACCAGATGGCACACGGATGACCAAATGTACCAGACTAACCACCCTTACCATAGAGCAAATAATCATGCCAAGTTTTGGTTTAGGATTACGGTGCGTATTAAAGCAGTTTTTCATCTCCCCCTTCTAAGCGAGCATGTCACTTGTCTGCAATGTGAGTGTGGAAACAGTAGATGGCAGTGTTTGTGGTGGATTTGACACAATCACTGATGTGCTTCTTACATGTGTGTGTGTATAGCAAAGTCCATAAAGCAAAGATGGCTATTATTACATTTAGGGTTATGTTGATGGTGGAAGTGGTTTTTGTTTTTCCATTTTATTTTTAATGAGCAGAATAAAATACACATCAATTAAAATAAAAGCTGCAAGGGTTTATTGCTACCTGTTTTCTAAATAAGGCTTGGATAACATATCGCAGGAGCCACCGCAATATAATTCTCTGTGTGTGTGTGTATATGATTATCTTTGTAAAACACGAACACCTAAAAAAAAAAAAAAAAAAGGAACAAATATCTGTTAATATAAGAGGTGGTCAATCTGAAAGGAAGGTTTCTCACAGACTTAGGGTTTTTTTTTTTTTCTTCCATCTCTAAAAACTGCAAAATAAAAATCAAATATCTCTGGCAAACTATCAGCACTTGAATAAAGCTAATTTTAAATGAGCATACGTTAAAGTAGTACAGTGTTGCATTGACTCAAGTAAGATACAATCCGGTAGATGCCAGGAACATGAGCTAGACCATTAGCAATTCAATTAAATGTTTTTACATGTTAAAGGGGTACTACAACCACCATGACCACATTAATGTCTAGAAGTATTTTATTTACTGGATATTTAACATGGCGGTGTAGCTCAACCTATGGCTGTGTCACTAGCCCACTCGGAACAAGAGTTCTCTACTTATTCCTTGCACAGACACTCCTTTATTGACTGAGACCTCTCAGCTGACACTCTCATTCAATGAATGAGTGATGGGATTGTTTCTGCAGAAGCCGGGTGCGATTAGCTGACATTCGAGAAGGCTGGACCCCAATTAGAGACAAACCTTAGAATCATTACTATTATAGTGGGCTGTAGTGATGCTTGGAGTAACCTTTTCATTAATAAAACATGACACTTGGGGGCGGGGCCTCACCGCTGAGTGGACGCAAGCAGCAACCGCTCCTGAGCCAACAGACAATTAACGCAGATTCTGCCAAAATAGACACCCAAATCGGGCTCTTGGAAGCTGATACCAAGTAGAGGGCACAGAGACCTACACAAAGACACCTCAAACGCTGATACCCCGCTCGGCACCAACATGTGGCCTACTCACACGGGCGGCACGGGAGAGACTGCTGCTCTCCCATTGCTTTCATACCCGACTGACTCACTGCTGAGCCCACGTGTCGTCCCGCCCCCCCCTGGCGGGGGTTATCCCGGTCCACATTTCACAGGGTCACAGGACTGCATGCAACCCGCACCCAGTAACCAAGATGGTGGCTGCTGACCAGGCTTCTGGGCCTACACCCACCCAACCTCTACCAGCGCTACTGGCAAGCCGGATACCCCCCACGAGGACCGCATAGCAGCAGCCTCCGACCATTTTTGGGCACGGGTTGTGGGCCACACGCACGGACCCAAGCAGCCACAACGGTCCCTCGACTGCCCACCACCTCACCTGCACACAAATCA